ATAAGAAAGTTAAAAGAGTTGTACCATTGGGTGTTGATAAGTGATTGTGATTGATAATATATATGCCAGAAGCTGTCAAACAGTGCTTGGTCAATTGGTCGATATGCAGTTTAGTCATGAAAATAAGATTGTATATGCTGTTTTATGAGTTTGAGGTTTGTAATAAGTTGGTCAGGAAGTTTGATGTTGAAGAAGTGAATAGGAGCTTTGTATCGATTAAGAATACTGTTAATAGCTTGTTTAGAGTGTGTTAAAAGTGTTTCACATTTCTTTTTAGTTGCTTGTTGGATTTGTTGACAAAGTAGTAATGAGTTTTCTATATGATGAGCATAATAAAGTTGTTTCCAGATAACTTGTGCATATTGGATCTATGTGTAAGTTTGAGAATTGTCATCTGAATCAAAAGTTTGAAGGTCATAGTAGGATCTATTATTAATAGTCTTAATTCTAGAGTTTATCATATTCATGTTAAGGTTGTTGTGAGTATTTTTAATAATTTTTATTAGATGCTCAAGCTTTTTAGATAATGTGTAGATTAAGGTAGAGTTAGAAGAATATTAAAGATTATAGCTGTGTTTATGAGTTTTCTTGTTTAAAATAGAATGTATTGCAGTGTTAATTATTGAATATTTAATTTTGTGCCAAATAGTTTTAATGCTTTCATTGGTATTACTATTGAGTAGTATATTGTGAGGACTAAGATTATGAGAGTGAAGGTCAGAAAATTCTGTCTATTTTTCAGTTGACATAGCTTTGTAATTGAAGATTCTGCAACTAATGCCAGTATGATGATGTAAAGACTTGCTATATGCATTAGTAAAAGTCCAGATAGATATAAGAATAGAGTGGTTACTAAGTGTTAAGGTATTGCTATTATCAACTTTGTATGAAAGAAACATTGAATATTAAATAAATCAGTCAAGATATAATCAATGTAGCTGTGGCTAGTATTATTTGACTATATAAAGTGCTTGTTATCAACATGTGTACCAAGGTCAAATATGTTGAAATAGTGTAAATAATTAATAAGTTTAAATTTAGATAAAGAGCTACAGATATCATCATGTATATTAAAGTCTTCAAGTATTATTGGATGAAGGTTGTGTTGAAAAGCTTGTTGGATCCATGTAATAACAGTATTTTGTGTATTGTTGCATTTTTGCATATTAGTAGAAGAAAGGTAGACAGCTATAATTCAAAGTTTGATTTTATTTTTGAAAAATAAATCTAGAGCAATTGCTCTACCAGGATGTGTTTGGCAGTTGTATATGTGTGTTGTAAGTGTTTTTGAATCATAATAGTAGCACCTTCTGCTAAACTTTCTGAATTGGCTCAGAAGTAGATGAATAAGTTGTTATTGTTAAATTGAAGATTAGTACTATTAGTGATATTGGTTTCAGTGATACAAAAGATATGGATATTATTGTGAAGACAATAATTTTGCCAAACTTAGTCTCACAATTTCCATCAGCATATTATTTTATCTTCAGCTATATAATATCCATAATATATAGGATATTCAACTACAACATTATATTACAAACTTTACCAAGAGACTTAATTCTTTTGATCTATTAGAAATAAGTATTTGCATTAGGCTCTAGCAACTTCAGAACAATCTGTAGTCATCTACTAGTATTCTGATACATGATAATCCTATCATTGATAGGCCTAACAAACATACTATTAATTTTAAAATCATCCAACTTTTTAATCATCTTGGTATTACATTTTCATCTAACCTATTATATAATATTCTATATACTGTTCAAGAAGGATCTATTTTACTTGAATCATTACTTTCATCACATCTAAAATACTCAACCTTCAAAAAACAACTTAGATACCATTGTATCCTTTTCTTAGACCAACTAACTACATTTGACAACTTATGCCTTTTAGACTGTAAACACATATTTACATGTATAAACAAAATTCTTAAAGGCAAACAACTACTCTGGTTTAATTATCTAGAAGACCAAACTACAAGTCATTCATACAATCACACTCTCTACTAACATTTATATTTACCCAATACAAACTACTACAGTTATTCAACTGAACACTTTTTTCTAAGGAAAAAGCCATAACTTATTATAGTACTTGACAACCAAATCATTATTGACAAAGCCTAAAGACAGCCCTCTTCTTCAAAAAGCATTCTTATTACTCACTGACAATACCATATTGAACAACAATTTACTTATCTATATCTACTTTCACCTATTCAATCACAAATATGCCTAGGTTGCTCTCTTAATTCTTACATAATCACCAACAAATACACAATCAATATTCCTATTAATCTTTCTTCAAGATTTTTTGGTCAAGTCAATACATACAACAAAACTCTTAACTTCAATGCCAACTACCTCAATCTTATGTACTTCATTGCAATTCGACATCTTATTCAAATTTCTAATTCTCCTAATATCAACATTACAACTTACTTAATTCCAATAATATTTGAACCCAGTACTTTAATAGATAACCTTTAACAAATCACCAACTACAATGCAAAACTATCAGAACTCCACTTTTATACAGATGGCTTTGTTATCAATCTGGGTACCTCACAATGTTCTATGGACATCAGATGGGCCTAAATTTTAAACAACAATATACTGCATACCTTTTAAGCCTAAATAAGATACTGGCCTTGCTTATTTAAAGCTAAGCTTACTGCTATTTTAACAGCCCTTATTACTGCTCCTAGAAATTGTACTATACACATATATACTGATTCACAGTCTGTAATCTCTAAATATTACAGTCTTTCAAACTCAACTCATACTCTACTTTATATATACACAATATACTTTTCATTATCAAATATACTTATTAACTTTGTCAAATCATACAATATTGATATTATTTTTCACAAAGTTATTGCTCATCAGGACAATCAGTACAATAACCTTGTAGACCAACTTGCACACAGTTATTACAATCTGTTATATCTTACCTTTATGTCCTACAATATCTACAATCCTGCATATACTTTAAATTTTGAAAACTTCCTTTTAGAATTACCTATTTATTACAGTATCTGTACAATATGTTATATACATATTTATGCATTATGGATTACACAAAACTGCTTTCAAAAATGGCACAAAATTCTTAACTAAGTTAATTGGCAAACTATCTGGCTATACATCAACAATAATCAAAAAATCTCAAACTTCTTGCACAGCTTTCAGTTCTCTACTCTTAAATCCTTTAGAATTAAAATTCTACTAGATGATCTTTCTACTTTACACATTTTACACAAATGATCTTACTCACACTCACCTACTTGTCACTAATGTCATCAAATTAGTTTTTATTTTTACTGGACAACCTGTCCATTTAATCAATTGCTATACAGCCTTATAAATATTTTATTACAATATACTTTAAACACTAAAACACTCGACACTATTTCAAATACTATAACCAATTTATATAACCAAATTAAGCTGTTGAGTAGTGTAACTATTTACAGCATATCAGATTTATCTTCAATCTTTTCAACTCTAACAAGTCTAATACCAAATGAACTTATTGACATTATTGCAAATCTGTCATTCAAAAAAGTAGCTACAACACTTATTAACAAGTTTTTACTTCATCTTAACCAACAAATTTATTACAAAATCTGGATCTTATAATGTATATCAAGATCTATAACTCAAACTCCTGAATATAACATATCTTCAAATACTGCCTCACTTTTATTACATTCTCTTCTACTCAATTCTATTAGTTCAAAAATAAACTCTTGGTATATCCAATGGATTAAATATTAAACTAATCCCTTATACATAATTACTAATACTCAAATCTAGATAAGCCTTGGCCATTCCGGTTGGTTTAGGTTGCAGATAAATTAGTCTGAGCTTCTATTCTTTCTATAATATTTTAAAAGCAGAATTGTACTCTATGTAAAATTTCAATTAAATATTCAATAAAAATAAAGGCATGGCCTCATCATTAATATTAAAAAAAAAAATACTTTATCAATCTTAAGAATGAACTTACTAAGAATTTAATTAAAAAAAATTATTTTTTTTTATTTTACAAAATTCTTATATATATAGTATAAATAACAGTCAAATTTAAAAAAATACTTTATACTCAACTTTTATAATTATTTTATTTTTATGAATATTTTAACAATATATAAAAAAAAAGTATAGTTTCTAAAAATATATTCAGTTTCTTTAAATAATTTGTTTTTATAGTAACCAATTTAATTAAAGTTAAGATTAAAACTTTAGAAAAAATATTTTTAATAAGTTATAAAGTTTTTATAATTTTTAATCATTTCAATTTGTTGTATTTCAAGATTAAAAATTTAATTAGCAGTATATGATTTAATTTTTTTTATTTTATCAACACTTATTTTTTTAAATATATTATAAATAACAAAAGCTTTTTGAGTTTTTTTTTCATAATGTTTCTATTATAATATATAGAAAATAATTAATAATTTTACTATAAGTTGTTGTTTTTACCATTTTTATAGAATATTTTTGATTATTATTTAGAATTTCTTTTACTTTTGCATCATAACTAGTAGCATATTTATACTACTTTTCTATTTCTCTTTGATTTGCTATTACTGCATTTTTGACAGTATATTCATAACTAATATATAATTGAGCCAGTCTTAATAGTTTTTCTATATCAGTTCTAAAATATAAAAGTTATAAAATAATTATAAAAAATTAGATATATATTACAATTTTATAATGCAGATTATATAATATAATAATTAATATTTAAAAATTAATAATCATATTAATAATTATTTTTAAATTTTTAATTATTACATTTTATAATATTAGTATTATAACTTGTCATAATTTTGAATTTCAAAATTTATATTAAAATTATTAAAATATATTTTTACTTATTATTTGAGTCTTTATTTTTACTATTGTACAAGTTTGCTATTATATTAATTTTAGTTTTAAGTTGTTTTATAATTTCAATTATTATTTTTAATTTTTTAGTATTTTTAATATTTTTGAAATAACAGATATAGTGGTAGGCTTAATAATAGTTGTAATATATGTAGTAGTAGATATAATAGATGTAGTAGTTGGCATAGTAGTAGTTAATATAGTAGTTGGCATAGTAGTTAGTATAGTAGTTGGTATGGCATAGTAGTTGGCATAGTAGTTGGCATAGTAGTTAGTATAGTAGTTAGTATAATAATTGGCAAAATAGTTAGTATAGTAGTTGGCATAGTAGTTAGCATAGTTGTTGCAATAATAATAGTTGTAATATTAGTAAATGTAATATTAAATATAGTAAAAATAACAGTAGATATACAAGTAGTAATATTAAATATATTAATTACTTTTTTTTTTTTTTAGTATTAAGATGACCTCTTTGGTCTTTTAACTTTTATTAATCACTTATTGGTATTGTAGTTCAATGAACTACTACAGTAGAGAGTACAATTGGCTATATATGTAACTTTTCTATATTACTTATTTAAGAAGTCTGCCCGAAAGTTCCTATAATTGTCATATCTAACACTTTTGCTTTGATGTTTCACTTTAAACCCTCTAAATCTGTAATCTGTATTAACTCACTGGGTTATATTCAGATGCCCAGATCATCATCTCAGTCTTAGGACTAATTTATTCTTGAGATAAACCCCCAAAGCCTTCTGTATCCATTTTTACAGCTGATCTAGATATTATTATAGCAGAACCAACACTTGCGATCAGAGCTGACCATTAAACTGCTATGTTCTTGTAGAGTTTACTTAGATCCCAGCATCTATTTTACAGCATAACTCTGGTACTTTAGTATACTCCTGCCTTTTCATCTGCCTTTTTACCAAACTCCCAATCCAGATAGCCTATGTAGGACTACAACCAGTTCATCAGTATATCAGGTTAGCCCAATATCCTTTTCCTACAGTTCATTCTAGTGGCCTGGTTGGTAGTACTCCTGAGACTTTCAATCTGGAGGTTCTTGCCTATCTGGCTACTACAACTGGGTACTACGCCCTTGGTATCTGTTTCTCTGAGCTAGACTTACAGTAGAGCCATCAAAGTTCCAACTACTTCTCTATTTGGATCTTCTCAAATGAACTTCTTGTTATCCAATTTTAATGGATTTACATATCCACAAGAACTTATCTAGTGTTTGCACTGCCCGATCTGTTGGTTTGCATTCCTTTGTATAATGCCATACTTATACAGATTTCTCATAACCTGCCAGTTATGCTGATATGACTACCATTACAGATATCCTAACTTAATTATTAGTAACAGTTGCGATAATATAAATATTATATAGGTGATTATTTAAATTTTTGCTGTCAATAGGATTTGAACACCCAACCTACCACTTGGAGGGTTGACAACCTGACTACTTCACTAGGTTACCGCACCTCTAAATATATTAATTACTATATTTAATAATATAAATAAATTATTAATAAATATATATAGCTAAATATAATATATTTAAATTTAAATATTTAGAAAACTTTTTATAAAAAGTTGACTAATTTAATTATTATTTGAAACAACTATATAAATAAAAAAAATTTATATTATATAATTATTAAATTTTTAATTAAATTTAACTTTAACTAATAAGAAACCTTAATATTTACAAATTCTTTACACAAATCTTAACTAAAAATTCTTTCATACAAAAACATTTATAACTATTTATTTTACTAAATTAACTTGTTTTTGGCTCTTAAGTAACTTGTTCAATATTAAATTTTATATTTATTTTAAAAGTTTCAAGTCTTTAGGATTTAAACTCATCAAGAAAAATGTACTGATGGCCTTTGGCCTTTAGAATTTACAAGTTCAATTATTACACAAAAGTTATTGTAACAATTTACTTTACACTCTTAAATAAAAGTGTAGAGTACACTTTTCTGGTTAAAACAAGTTCTAAACAAAGATTTTTGACCAAATATTGACTAAATTACAGTCAAATTTAATTTTTACTCTTTTGTAAAAATTCTTTTTTTATTTTTTGTCTCTACTCTGGTTTGCTTATTCTTACATATTTTTTGTATAACATTGGATTACTTTTTAATTTATATTTAATTAAATTTACACTAAATTTATTAATATATCCTTAAATAGAACCTTATTTAACACACAATTTACTCTTTTTCATATTTGGTTATAATAAATTTTATATAAAAATTGTACTTTGTACTAATACTATACTATACAGGTGACTAGTATTTAGTTACACCCACTATTCTAGCTTATTATAAATTATAATTTTGTAATACCTTATTACATAAAATTATACAAACCTATATTAAGCTATTCTTATACTAAAACCTTTGTACTTATTTACTACTCTTACAAAATCATATACTTACAACTTTTTTATTTAACAAAATATTTTAAAAATGCCTACTCTTACAACATCTGAACTAGACTCCTATGATATGGATTATTATTACTCTAAATACAGAGACCATCATGGACTAGGTATAAATGAAAAAACTTCTAAATTACTCTGTATTCTTCTACCAGATATTAATTCTAATAATATGAAGTTTTAATAAAAAACATTACTTTAAAGTTTCTACTCAACCAACTATTGGTATATGTTTATATAATCAATTTCATACAAATTTTATCTCTTGCTACTACAAAATTACTTATTTTACCACTCTTTATCTTTCTAATATGCAAACCTCTCCAATTATCTCCACTAAATGCTTTGAAAAAATTAGTGATACTCTATCTGCATCTTCTATTATTAAACAACTTTTAACTTAACTTCCTGATTTTACTATTCTTTTCCCTTCATTCAATACTAATTCTACACCAATTGTTATTATTCTTCATTATCAATATGTTCATATATATGTTTATGTAATATCAAAAACCTTCCTTGTGTTCTTTTTCAAAAAAACAAACATTCATCAGATTATACTATAGCAATTTTTTTTAGAACTCAACTTATTCATTATAGTTGTACTCACAGAATTATTGATATCAAATTACATTACCTTCCTTAAACTAAACCTTTGACTCAAGATAAAAAAAAAATCTCATATATTCAAATTTATTTTACTTAATAAACTTAAAAATTGAAACTTTTTAAAAAAATTTTATCTAAATTTTCTAAAAAGAATACCAAATCTTAATAACAAAAACATGATACCTCTCAAGATTTTAACTGATTTAAATTATTTCTAGTCACAAAAGAAATGAAACCCAATTCAAAACTTAACACTCCACTTTTTTAACAATTATTTGAGTTTCTTAAACCCAACTTAATCCAATTCATACTTGAAAAAACTATTTCTTCTGAAAATCTAAATATTAAATCTATTTTCAAATACTCTTTTGATTACTTATTAAAAAACATAGCAGAGCAAAAACCCAAATTTTTTGGTGGACTTAGTTTATAAAACTAATCTATTAATTGATACTCAAATTTCAATTCTTACAGAAATTTTAATTAATATCTTAAAACTTATTCTTTCTAAATTTCTTACTATATTCTTTATAAAACTTAATTATAAAAAATTTTTTCAATCTCATTATACTATTTCATCATATATATTTCAAAATTGACTTCAAGTTGCTATTAAACTTGCACATTTACACCTCTTTCTTAACTCCATTTATAAAACTATTCATACAAAAAAATTTGTAGAGGATCTAAATTTTCAACTATTTTATCTTATTTTACATTATAATATTAGTTATAATTTAATCAATAAAGCTCCTTTTCAAATACAAAATAATTAAAAGTTAAATGTTAATATTTCTTTTAATATTAACACTAAAAAATTTAAAAACTCTTTTCAAATACCTTCTCTTAAACTATATGAAGCAATTATCAAAAATTGGTTTAATAAATTTATTGAAATTTATAAATGTCACTTTCTAAACATTATTAAAACCAAAGTTCTTAATTTTTTAAATATTAAACTGCAACTAAATATGCTAAAAAGCATAAAAAACTACTACCCCAATTTTTTATTATTGAATTTATTATATCTCTTCAAAAGTGCACTCTATTAGTTAGAAAACTTACTCTTTTTCATGTTATACTAGCAAGAACTTTAATGAACACAAATGCACAGTTCTTTTATCTAATTCTAAACAAAATTTTAAAATCTTTTTACAAATTATTTTGATCAATCTTTGAAAAAATTTTTTGATCCTGTTACTGACAAATCAAGCCCATCTACCAAATCTAATCAACTAGCATAAACTCATCCTACCTTAGATTTCTCAATCTTTTACAAAAATAATAAATATTCAGCTTCATTCAAATTTTCAATTACAATTAAATTTCTTTGAAAGCTTGCTGATTCTGCTGAAAAACAATTCATAAAAATCAACAAAACTGATTATAATATTAATTGTCAAACTTATTACTTTTATAAATACTTTAAAGCTTTCCTCCAAGCAGCAGCTCAAAATAATGAAATCTTCAATTTAAGCTATAACTAAACTATTAAAAAAGTTACAAATCAAATTACAGATATTCATTTTCTAGCCAGAATTATTACTTACTTTGAAATACTTAAACAAAGTAATATAAATCTTTCTATTTCTTTTATCTGAAAAAATACAATAAAGACTATTACCCTCAAGCTAAATCTCTTATTATTAAGGAATTTAAATATATTACTTTAAAAAAAATTAATAACCTTGATCTCTTTAAATCTATTATCTTTCAACCTCCTTTTTAATAAACCTTTCTGCAAGTAACATTAAAGCAGCTGCCACCTCTGAAATTATAATGTATTCTACAAATAGTAGATCATTTTTAGAAGAGAATGATATAAGTAGATAGGCAGTAAAGCCTATTTATGCAGAAGACTGAGATTATGACCATCAGGCCCAATGTATAGGAAAGACTACAGTATTTTTCACATCTGTGCAAGCTAAGATTAAAATAGTGAGCAACCTTGCAGAAACCTATTACTCATCTTTAATTTCAACTCCTCTCTTAACTTCAAGAATCCTTCTTGTTACAATATCTTTTTAATTCACAATAATCTTCTGACTCTACTACCTAATCAAACACTTCTAAATTTTTTTCAATATCTAAAAAATTATCTATTTAATAAACCATTTAAAATCTTTATTAATACTATACTTACTGAAACACATGTCTATAAAAACTTAAACAATAGTATAATACCAAATTACATACTTCTCTCTAAATCACTTTATTATCAATACTATAATCTACTTATCAAATCATATTAACAATTTTCAGTTTCTAATTTATTAACAGATTCTGATTTCTTTAATACTAACAATCTCAATATTACAAATTCTATTTCTCCTATATCACATTTATCTGACTAATAATATCTCCTCTTTCTAAACATCTTTTACATCTATAATTTCAATTCTTATAAAAATTGGTTTTCTAAATATTAATAGTTTACTTTAATACTCAAAAAAGAGCTCACTCATTGATATTATTAACCAATATAATTTTGATATCTTCAAATTATTAGAAACTCATCTTAGTCTAAAGAAAGAAAATTCTTTAACCAAAATCTTCAAAATTATAACTGCTTTTGGAGTTTTTAAGAAAATTCTTACCAAGCTAGTGTTAAAATTTTTATACATAAAAGAATCTCTAAATACATTGCTAAAACATACAATTATAATAGTCATATAATTGGCTTAGATCTATATTTTAAACATAATTCTATCTGCATTCTTCAAATATATCTTCCTACTTCAGAGAAAAAACAACTACATGTCAAAATTCAAGAACAAATTATTTTAATCCGTAACAATTATAACTATCAACTTATAATACTTGGTGATTTCAACAATGTTCCAAATCCTTGCTAAGATAGAAATTCTTCAAAAACACTTCTATTCCAGAATTCCAAATTCTTAAATACTTAATCAGTCATCAATTTAAAGATATATATTGATTTTTCTTTTCTACAACATTAAACTTACATTTTCTCATTCAACCTCTAATAGCAGAATTGACCAAATATAGACAAACTTAAATATATCTCAAATTGAATATTTTGATATCTTTAAAGATATTTTAACTGAATCAGACCATAAAATTATTATTCTAAAAATTTTTATAACTATCAACAAAACAAAAGCCTCTAAATAAAATAAAGAAAAAACTTCTTTTGGAAATTTTGCTCAAAAAAAAATATTGAAAACTACTAAATTAAATATTACAAAGTCTTTACAAATTACAAAACCAAATATTCAACATCTCAAATCAAAATGAACTCAATATAATCCTGAATAAAATACTTAAAGCACTTACTAAAGCTGCTTTAAAAAACATTTTTTACAAAAACATTAAAACAATTCAAAAAATTAAAGATAACAAACCTTCCAAATGACATGTACTTTTTTACAGATATAAACAAATACAATATTTAAAAAACTATTTACAATCATTCAACTTTTATAATTTTCTTAATGAATACAAAATCAAATATCCTGAAAATCTTATTGATGAACTACAAACCTCTAATAACTTACACTCTTTAATCAAACAAGGATTTAATCAAATTAAATTAACACTCAATACCTTTTATCAACAACAAATACAAAAAAAAATACAACAAAAAATCAAGAATCACAACCAACTTTTCTAATTACAACTAAATAAATTCTTCAAAAACATTCTTGAAAAATATAATAGTATACATATTAATAGACTTCTAACAAATAACTCTTTATTAACAGAAAAAGATTATATTAAACAAGCTATTTACACTCATTTTACTGAATACTTTAATAAAAAACCCCTTCAACAAATTCAATCTACATCTGATTACTACCAACTATACCAACCTCATCCTAAACTTGAAATATATTACCAAAACTTATTCAATAATATTTCTAATAATAAATGGCAAAGTATTATTCAAAATCTTCTTCTTCAAAAAGCTGCAAGCCCCCTCGAAACAAACTATGAACATATTAAATATGTAGGTCCTATTGGCCAAATTTCTCTCAAATTATTTATTAACAAATGTCTTTAACTTCAAAAAATTTCATCTGATTGGAAAACATCTAATATTTTCTTTATTTCAAAAAAATCTTCATGAGACTTTACACTTAATCAAGTTTGTTCAATCTCAATTATAAAACCAATAAAAAAATGCTTTACTAAAATCTTTATACAAAAACTAGATTATATTATTAACTTTAATAAACTCCTTTCTAATCTTAACTTCACTGTTACCAAAAACTCTTCAACACATATCCCTATTCAAATCCTTAACAATACTATTGAACATTACAAATATTTCAACAAAAAAGTTTGGATAATGCTTCAAGACATGTTCAAAGCTTTTGATAAAATCAACATATCTTGATTACAAAACATTTGCTAAAAAATTAATATTTTTTTAAAAGGAAGTTAACTTATTACTAAACTATATACAGACTGACAAGCAAGAATAATTATTGTACATAGTTTTATATCACCTGTTTATATCAAATCAGATATTGAACAAGGTGAAACATGCTTACCTCTTCTCTGGAAAATTTATTATAATCTAATTCTGACTTATATTTATAGTAAATATAACAATTATTTATTTAAAATTATCACCTCTTTACCACTTGAAATTATCTTTAATATATTATCTTTTTTAATAATAATACCTTCTATAGCTTTCATGAATGATACTGTTTGGCATAGTAAAAACTCTAAACCCTCCAACATATTCTAAATGATATACAACAACTATACAATCTTAACAATATTGAAATTAATCTAACTAAATCTGATTTTTTATATATTTCTCAAGACAAAAATAAGCTAAATATCTCTATACTAGCTCTTTATTACAATAATCAAATAATATCTTTATATAAATCACATAAAAATATACATTATCTTGGTATCTATTTTGATAAAAATGGTTTTAGTAAACCAACTTTTGAAATACTTTAAAACAAAATTGAAAACTTTTCTCTCTTAATTAAATATAAAAAACTTATACTCAAACAAATTTCTAC